GAAGTGTATATTCTCTCCAGTTTTCTTGTAGTTCATTCTGAACTCGATCTGTTCTATCAGTGCTGTATAGTTTCTGTACGTTATTTCTGAGATTATGCAGGGCTGAACCTATTGAACTCTCGGCTATGAAAGTGCATCAATAGAGTGTCTCCATCTGGCTTTACATTCAGCCGGCGTCACAATGAAAACGCATCTAAGGCACGTCAAGAAACGGATATAACGACAATTCAGAATGACCTATAAAGGCAGATGGCGAGATTTAGAGAATTTAGACAGCAGGTTAGTACTCGCTATGTGTTAAACACTGGTGATTTCTGGCATAGTATCTCCATCTTCAAATAATGTATGGCAGATATGTGGTTACAATTCACAGGAGAAAGACTATGTCCAAAATTTGGATGAGCAATTGTTCAGATTTACTTGTTCCCTCAAAAGGAATCCTTGTCTTTCTGAATATGGCAGGAAATATCTCGCTAAAAACTGCCAAACGAAAAATTCACTCTGTTAACCTGCAAGCACGAACGTTCATCTCTATCCGGATATAAAGTACCAAAACTTTTCTACCGATAATTTTCAATTTTAGTGGAAAACGTAAATAATTTAACATTTCTGTGATACAGGGTGAATCTAACGAACTGACTGCTTCATATGGTACCTTGTAGTCTAAAATGATTCACTTATTACTGAATACTGCCAAACATCATATAAAGCTATTATTTTATGGTATTCATAGTTCCTCTTGCTCTGCATACACACTTTATTTCACAAATTACCAACGTTTCGAGCTATACTTGACTCGTTTGCAAGGTACAGTGGAAGCTGCTATTTGTGCTAGTTAGTTGTTAGTTACCCATGAACATTCAGGTTATGCTTTATCTGTATGAAATAACCTGATTTGCACAGTTGTTGTAATAAATTCCCTTATGCGTGATAATACTGTTACTGCCACACAGTCACTTAACCACTCTGGTTCATCGTGGTTTGTTGACTTACCGTTTAACTCTCACTTACTCCGTCAGGGCGCAAGTAAAAGTATTTTAATTCATGAAACTACTGAAATGTGAACAAGTAAATGTTAGTTTGCGCGTGAATTATTAAAACCGAGCCTATATACTTTCATGTGTTTTGTCACTTCTACTTTTAACACTTAGTTGCATATTTTAGATTCTCTGACGATGGAAGTTTACGCGATTCCAATTTATGCGAATTTCACTGTTCGACTTTATCAGCAAGCTTTACCCGCAGATACAAGCGGATTCCTTTCCCCGCTGTCAATCATGGTTGCCCTTTCAATGACATACCTTGGTTCAGGTGGTGGTACTCATGAGCAATTGAGTAGAGTATTATACGGAGGTAAAATGAACGACGATGCTGTCAAAAAGTACAGCAAAGATATGATGTCTTCGCTCAGAGTTTCAGAGAATGTTAGCACCCTTTATTTGGCTAATAGACTGTACTGCCAACTAGGATTCAATATATTGGAAGCATTCGATGAAGATCTGAAGAAGTACTTTAACTCGAGTATCCAGTCGGTAGATTTTGGAAAGAACGACGAAGCAAGTATCGAAATCAACAAATGGATATCCGACGTCACGCATGGAAGAATAGACAATCTAGTCTCCTCTAACTTTTTTAACGCACTAACTAGATTGGTGATAGTGAATGCAGTGTATTTTAAAGCTAATTGGCATTTTAAGTTCAACCCTGAAGATACAATTAAGAAAACCTTTTTCGTGTCGCAATCAAAGCAAAAGCAAGTGGATATGATGCATCGGCAAGGCCAATTTTTGTATCATGCTGACAAGCAACTGAAGATTCTGGGAATGCCTTATAAAGCTGAAAATCTAAAAATGTTCTTCATCTTGCCAATTTCCAAAACTGGACTTCCCACAATCGAAGCGAAACTTACCGGTGTCGAGCTGCTGAACCTAATTCGATTCACGATTATCAGTGAAGTGAAGGTATCTGATCAGTGATTGTTATTTACTGATAAGCGCAGTTTCACTGTCACTGTGTTATTAGATTTAGCAAACAGCATTTTTTTCAAAAATGCGAATGTTAAGTGCTTTTACTACCACGTTTTATTTAAATCACATCCTGACATCGCTAGATGATCGATTTTTGGAAACGTATCACGTGCTCTTGAAGTTGGTGCATATTTCTAGAATTTTCAGAAGGCGTTATAATATAATTTATGATAAGTTATAAGATATCAAGTTATAAGATCGCTGTATAATGTGTTTCCCCACTTTTTCTCACTTTACTTTTAAAATATGCGATATGGATAGGTGTTATCTCGGCTATGATGACTGTACAGACATCACATACTGAGTTATCTAGACTGCGACAATTCGGCTACCATTCTAAGTTTTACGTTTATTTCGTATATGCTCATATATGCAATTTATGTCTCTGTTCAGAAATGGCTTCTTTTCGTGATTCCATGTAAGAATAATCTCAGAAGACGTAAGAATTTCCGCAAATGGGAACAAGTGGCTCTACAGCTATATCACTGTAGGCTATTTTAACGAGTTTGAAATATCAATATAAATCTCAGATAATACGTATATTCGTTTACCCTGTTGTTAATTTTCCCAATATTTTGCATCAGTAATAAAATCGTGTGCATACCTGCAAACAGATGCAATGATAACAGGCAATTTTAACGTTCAGGAAAAATCAGCGAATGATCTTGAACCGTCGCAGAGTCCACAAGTGAAAGAACCACCGTTGGCATCATTAACTTCCGGGGACGTTTCAGTTTCGGCTCGTACCAGAACTAGACACTTGTCGATCCGATTTGAGAGAGTTTGCCGTCCATGAAATTTTACTGTCCTCATGATTTATATTGAGACTCATTTAAAATGTTCTTCAGTGTCTATGCCGTTGAACCTCGAAATTTATTCCATGCAGCGGCACAGTAGGATGGCACTGTTCGCCTGTAATGCCAGGAAGAATATCAACCACCGTAGGCTTTCATAAGCTGGCAACTGGTGTAAACCAGTCAATGCCTGCAGAAAAATATCACAGCCGTTTCTTCGCCATTGGTTTCAATCTGTTTAGAACAAGTTAAATTGTTTCTAATGAAGAGGCGGGTGGATATCTGACGTAAAGACTTTCAGCTGTTTTGATGCATGATTATAGCTCGAATGGCCAGCGATGATGGCAGATGTCTTCTAAAAAATATGAAGAAAATGTCATTCAGGTCGTTCGTGAGATCTCGAACACGACAATGTGTCCATTTTTTAGCGCCTAATCAAATAAATGAGGATGGACTTATGATACATGCGTAGTCTTCATATTTGGTGCAGGAGGTTGAAAATAGAGTTCGAAGTCTATTTGCATGAAAAGCGCATATATCATGTCATAAACGGAAACTTGTAAAACTCCGATATTCTTCTAACATGATTTATCTTTCTTTTGCCTTGGCTGGAACTGTCATACATTTAATATGGAATCAGATAACCAGCGGAATAGGAAAGATAGGAATTCTCCTAACTGGTTCTCCTATCGAAATGCAGCTAAAGGCAGATACGCTGCTTCCATCCACCTTTTTTTTCACCAGAGCATTAGTATTGAACAGTCACAAAGTTTGTGAAATGTTTTCGCATGTACTGTGACGTTTCAGCAGTATTTATTACACTGCTATTTCATCCCGTTCTTGGATCGTTGCTTGTCTTCCATGTGTTATGTGAAAGCTTCTTGGGTTCTGAAAGGCAATGCACTAATGTTTTTTTTACATTTACCCTTTCGGTATTATTTTCTGCGAATGCCATGCCATTATTTTCATGCCGCAATCTGTTTTGGTCAAAGTAAGGTGTCATTTGAATACGCATTTAGGTGGCTATTCCAAAATTTAAAGTGAAGAGTTCGTTCAGCCTCAACAGCATTTTGACAAAGATGGGATTGGATGAAATGTTCAGCCCGAAATTGGCAAATTTTTCAAAGATCACCGGGAAAGACGACCTTTATGTTTCAGCTGTTCTTCATCAAGCTTTCGTTGAGGTAAAATGTGATCGAGTAAGCATTTGTTTTTCTGACCCTACTTTCAGGTAAACGAAGAGGGTAGTGAAGCTGCTGCGGCTACGGCGGTGATTGCAATGGTCAGAAGCGCAGTTATTGTACCTCCAAAACGTTTAGAGTTCATAGCTGATCACCCTTTTATTTTCACAATTATGGACACTAAGTCGATGAATATTCTCTTTATCGGCCGTTTTATGGGTAAGCTAATTCGAGAAAAGTTTAAATGAGCATATACATTCAACTCTCCCTGCACGTATTTGATGAGCCATTTTGAGTCACCACTGAATTTCTAAACAAATGTTGGCTAATCAGTCTATAAATTCAGTTTGATTTTCCGATGAATGGTTCTTCCTTAATAGACAAATACTAAAGACAACTTTAAACTTCATATAAATGCCATATTATACAAACTGTTCAGGACTCTGATACATGACTTATATAGAGTTGCACATCGGCGTACACTCCGCTGAAGTAGACATATTTTCACAATCGCTGCAAGGAGTCAAAACACTTCAAATTTTCCAAAATTTCTCAAAAAGGAAATCGATAATTGGTCATACGAAACTTGTCCTTGGATAATGACTAGAAGACCAACGTTGAAACAACGTTCCCTGCCACTTGTTTTGGTTCACCTCCTTGATTATTAAGAATCATGTTACACATTTGGCCATCCACAGTTTTGTGGCAACAGGGCACATCATGGGCGTACCAGTGCTCTCTCCAGTTATTGGCTGCCGAGAGCTATGCGAGCTGACCTTCGAAACAACGAGTAATACAGGATTGCTCAGCACCAGGTCACACAATTTTAGCCAGAA